CTATTAAGTTTTATGGCTTTGTCACATAGCCGGAATTCCACGTTCAAGTCTCCTTTATTTTTCCTAATTAAATCTCTTCTGAGATTACAGTGAAAGAAGCTTAATGCCACCCACCCACAGGAGATAAGCGCAGGTTTAGACAGCTTATCAGAGCGTAGTACATACCGGTGTAATTTATAATGAGACATGGAGTGACATCACTGCGATAAGGCAATGGACCAATGAGAATTGAATCTGTTAGAGTGCATCGCCAGCGTCTGGGCCGCAGCTCTGTTTATACAGACTCCGAGAACGCTGGCAGGAGAATCTCTTATCGCAGTTCGGTCCCTACAGGGATACACTGTACATTAGAAAATCTTGGCAGAGGGTTTGAAAAGCAGCCCATGTTTACAAAATCACTGAGTCACCAAAGCTTATTTTACTTTGTATTTTTATTTATTTATATTTATGCTAGCTTGATTGTTTGATTTTTTTATTTTAGAAGCTGTATCATACAATGAACCAGGTATGCTTTTTTTTGTTTGTTAAAACATCTGTTATTCCAATTAGCGGGCACAGAGGAAATGGCTTTTTGTAACTGTTTGCGTGCTGCAATTAGTACCAGAGAGTGAACCTAAGCGTAGCCATACATTTAATGGGGTGCACGATGACCCAGTTTAAAACCCGGACTCGAGAGGGACAGTGCCGCCTGCTGCTCAGAACTTGTGCTATTGTGAGGTCACAGGAGGCAGAAATCTCTGGCAGTGGGGTGAAATGATTATTTTGCTGTTAATGTATATATTTGTTGTATTTCAGTTTACATGACTGCTCACCGTGCGTTGCAGATTGACGTACTTGTGTGGGACGCCTAAGAGTTTTGCATTCTCTCAGATAGGGTTTGAAAGTGCTGCCCGGCAGAGCTAAGTGTTCATACGGCTTCCAGGACTGGGACTCATTGATTGCTGCCGAGTCAGACTTTCAATCCCAGAATGCAGAGCCGCTGTGTGTGATCTTGGGTAGCAATTCAGTCATAAGAGACATAAAACCTGTTTGTGATAATAGTGCAGACCTCATTCCTGTAGAATAGAGAAAAGGCTACTTTTTAAAACCCATTTTTAAAAAATAGCTGCCGTATGCTTATAAGGGAACTGGCGTTTATTTCCTGCTAATCACATGGAGCCGCGCATTTCACAACAGTAGCAGAACATCAACCAATCAGGCGGGTGCTAATCCAGTGACGCGCTCTCTGCTCTCATCGCTCATGTGGGATGTGATGTTCTAGGTATGTTCTATATGAGACACCGCGTCTTTTAGTGCCAACAATTTGTCGCAAAATGTAATCTATTCTTTGCTATGGCAAAATCACCAAGAAACATATCGATTTAAAGAACCAAAACAGGAGTATCGATTTAACTCCTTACACTTTGCATGCTGGGACAAGATCAGGATGATGGGATTCGTAGTTCTAAAATAGGGGGAATCCACCTGTTGGACGGCCACACTCTAATTTCACTTTCCAGTGGTATAAATAATAAACTTTACCTGTCTGCCGCAATACTGAGAGAGAAAATGTTACCGCTGTCACGTAAGTGCTGCTATGCCATTTAAACTCACACAGTAACAAAACAAGCCATAGCAGGGTTAATCAGCGCCCCCCGCCGCGCACAACGTTTCCCAAGTAATATGCAGACTGCCCATCTGTCATCTCCAGCCGGCAGGTAATAGACTGAAATCTATTTAAGTCATGGCTTCTTTTAATGGCTGCTGTGTAAATAAACCGTCCGATCAAGCGAGAGCTTTATCTCATTATGGTGGATTCAGAATCTCTCCTGCCTGCATCCTCTATTTCACGATTGTGGCGTATTAAAGAGATTACATTTATCCCTGCCTTTTAGTGAAAGACATCTCGCGTCCTTTATGAGACAGTGAGTCTTAATCCCCACGGGCATGTCTATTCTCCTCTGACAAAATATGAAAAGCACTTTAAATATTTAGCGAGAGGACGAGATTACAAGTACCTTTTGGGACGGAAGGGGTTATTACAGATGTAAGGGTTTTTACAAAACACGTCATCGTTATAGGTTGGCAACAAACTTTATACAAACATAAATAAATGCTGCTGATGGCTTGTTAAGATGTATTTTTTTTTTATGGGAATTTACTCTGATTTTGGACTCGAAATTTGCTGCAATTTTTTTTTTTTTTTTGCATTCATGTGACAGGACTCAATCATTTAAGCTGTGTGAAGTGAGGGAGCTGTTTAGCTAATCTTGCATTTGTTTGCTCCACCCCTACCTGATGTTTTTAAGCAGGGTTCTTCATGGGCAGTCCTCCTCACTTCGGGGGAGGTTCTTCCTGCTATTAGGCCATAGCCTTTTTGCTACAGACTGCTCCTTCCTTCCAGTCCCATCTAAAGAGGGAGGTCTGTGAGAATAGTGCCGGGGATACAGAGTAATATCTCTTCCTAACGTGGTACTTGCCCGTGTGCGTGTACACCCCCTGAGTCCTGATATTGGCACATCCTGAGGCTTGGTCAAGTGAAAGCCTCATAGTTCTGGGTTGGCCTCATTGCTAAAAGCTCCAGGCAGGCTGTTCCAGACTCCTTCCCCGGGATTTTTTCCATTTCTAAACAGGTAGGTGACAGTCCAGCCCGTAAACATGGTTGGGCTGACAGAAAAGTGTCGTCCCATCGCCAAAAGAACAGTGTTTTCCAGTCTGAGGGCAAAATCTGAAAATCACTGTCCTCTTTAAACACTATGGGAACGTCCACTTTGAACACTATAGGGCACCCAGAACACGAAATCTCAGTGGAGCATCGTGTGCACTGTTTTAACCCCGCAGCCGAAAACCGTTCTGAATGAATGGCATTGTTTACATCGCAGGTTTAACCTGCTTTAGTGGATATTATGCTGACAATCATACTGGTAGTCGCTAGAGGCGATTCTGTAAAATAACAGAGTGAAACCCCGTTCTTTATAGCAGTTGGCCTCAGAGGCGCTGTGCAGTGTTTTGCTGCGCATGCCCACTAGCCTCCCAATGATTTCCTATGGGAAAGCATTGGATTGGTTGAGGCCATCAACCTCGATAATCTCAACCAAAGAAGCGGGGCTTCAGTGAGGAGACCGGAGCTGCGAGGGGAAAAGTTGAGCTACCTATATTAAAACTAACAGCACTGACCCTGTGCCTAAATGGCATTTGTATTCCTAACTGTATAGTGTTCCTTTAAGAAGACCTGTGTCTGCCAACCATAATGCTCTGTATGGACATGTCGTCTTCCATGTATGACCACTACCTCCTAATCCAGACCTACCTGTGTTCACACTAAATCCTCCAGCCGGTTCTACATTGACCCTTCTGTCCATCGTAGTCCTGAATGTCTACTGCAATTTCCACATTTTCTTTAAACTACCATCAGCCACGTTTACTCTACATACTTATTATTGGTTCCCAGTTCAATTTCTGTTCTGTCCGATGGCTAAAATACCATCCCCTCTTTTGACTGTACGGATAAAAATCGATCACAGATGAGCCTATCTTATCCGTAGGCTTCAATTTCTCCAAGGGACGCAGAGCGATAGAACCAGCAATCCCAAATCCTGGCAGCCCACTCATTAGAAGACACAGAACCCTTACCTGCATTCTCTACCCTCCTCCTAAAACCAATTAAGCACACTCCTAACGAAAATGGTATTTTGACCTAACTAGATCACTGCTACATTCACTCAATGCAGCTTAAAACTGTAGTTAATCAAAAACAATTCAGGCCTCTATTACTGCAGCCCGTGTGAAAAAGCAGGGTAGCAATTGTCGGGTAATTGCGAGACGGCGAGATAGATCGGAGAGAGAAAATTGGAATATCGTTGAGGGCTAGAAGCTTATTTAGACAGTTATCGTTGGAGGGAGGGGGAAAGAGATGGGTTTACGGAATTGGAAAAAAATAAACAACTGAGAAAATCAACCTCTTGACAAAAGCTACGCCATTATAGGACAAAGGGAGTTTACAAGTATGCAAACTAGAGAGAAGTCAGTTTATGTGGAATCGTGTTCAGGAAAGTAAATGCCAAATTAGAAGCCGCTTATCCTAGCTTCTGGTTTGGACTGCAAGGAAGTGGAATCTTATGGGATTGAACGGGTTAAACTTGCGTTAAATACTCCAGGATTAGCCATTTAGTTTTAACTGGGGTGGACGGGAGTCTGTATTTAATTCTGTGCTAGTTCCACATTTTTGGTTAAATCGCATGTAAAAGGACATAACAATGTGTCCATGGAAGTAAAACAGGGTCTTCCAATGACACCATCCAGGAAGGAGAGTCGTTGATCTAGCGTTCGTTGTGCAACCCTTGCTGATTTGCATTGGGGAATAAGAGGTTTATACCTTACATAGCTTACATCTTCCTGCCAAACCTTCTCTGTTTTTTTTAGAGTGCTGGGAGATGATGTCACTCAGACCCTGGTGTAGGAGGTGAGGACATCAATGCTCTTAGTGGCACAGATCCCTCCGTCCATTCACTAGAACACTATTTTACAATGGAATTACATTGTATGCTGAGACCCGAGGCCTACCGTCTACAACTCTCACAAAGGGCTGTGGTCAGTGCGTGACACAAGTCAGATACGTGTCTCGTACGTGTGCCGTACAAAAAAACAAAAACAGCTATGAGTTTCAAAAATGAACAAAGCACACCTGCGACATAACAGAATGCTTTCACAGGCAAGCCTATATAAGCAATGTTTCAGTCCTTCCTCAGTCCTTCCTCAGTGAGGCCCATTGGGAACCGGGGTCATCTTTCGGAATAGTGTGTTCTATAAAACATTGGTGCGGTATAGTGATATGGTAAATTGGTGCAGTATAGTGACATGGTAAATTGGTGCAATAAATTGGTGCAGTATATTGATGTGATAAATTGGCGCGGTATACCGACATAGTAGAGTGGTGCAGTATAGTGACGTGGTAAATTGGTGCGGTATAGTGATGTGGTAAATTGGCGCAGTAAATTGGTGCAGTATAGTGACGTGGTAAATTAGCGCAGTAAATTGGTGCGGTATAGTGACATGGTAAATTGGTGCGGTATCGTGATGTGGTAAATTGGTGCGGTATAGTGACGTGGTGAATTGGTGCGGTATAGTGACGTGGTGAATTGGCGGAGTAAATTGGTGCGGTATATTGATGTGGTAAATTGGCACGATATATTGATGTGGTATATTGGCGCAGTACATCGGTGCGGTATATTGGTGTAATAAATCGGCGGCGGTATATTGATGTGGTAAGTTGGCGTGGTATATCGGTACTGTATAGTGATGTGGTAAATTGGTGCGGTATATTGGCGGAGTACATCGTCGCAGTATATTGGTGTGGTATATTGATGTGGTAAGTTGGCGCGGTATATTGGCGCAGTAAATTGGCGCGGCATAGTAAGGTGGTAAATTGGTGCAATAAATTGGCACGGTATATTGCCGCAGTACATTGGCGCGGTATATTGAAGCAGTACATTGGCGCGGTATATTGGCATGGTATATTGGCACAGTATATTGACGCGGTACATTGGCACGGTATATTGTCACAGTATATTGAAGCAGTACATAAATTGGCATAGTATATTGGCACAGTATATTGACGCGGTACATTGGCGCGATATATTGTCACGGTATATTGAAGCAGTACATTGGCGCGGTATATTGACGCAGTATATTGACGCAGTACATTGTCACGGTATATTGGCACAGTATATTGACGCGGTACATTGGCACGGTATATTGGCACAGTATATTGAAGCAGTACATAAATTGGCATAGTATATTGGCACAGTATATTGACGCGGTACATTGGCGCGATATATTGTCACGGTATATTGAAGCAGTACATTGGCGCGGTATATTGACGCAGTATATTGACGCAGTACATTGTCACGGTATATTGGCACAGTATATTGACGCGGTACATTGGCACAGTATATTGTCACGGTATATTGAAGCAGTACATTGGCGCGGTATATTGACACAGTATATTGACGCAGTACATTGTCACGGTATATTGGCATGGTATATTGGCACAGTATATTGACGTGGTACATTGGCACGGTATATTGGCATGGTATATTGAAGCAGTACATAAAATGGCATAGTATATTGGCACATTATATTGACGCGGTACATTGACGCGATACATTGTAACGGTATATTGAAGCAGTACATTGGCGCGGTATATTGACGCAGTATAGTGACGCAGTACATTGTCACGGTATATTGGCACAGTATATTGACGCGGTACATTGGCGCAGTATATTGTCACGGTATATTGAAGCAGTACATTGGCGCGGAATATTGACGCAGTATATTGACGCAGTACATTGTCATGGTATATTGGCACAGTATATTGACGCGGTACATTGGCGCAGTATATTGTCACTGTATATTGAAGCAGTACATTGGCGCGGTATATTGACGCAGTATATTGACGCAGTACATTGTCACGGTATATTGGCATGGTATATTGGCACAGTATATTGACGCGGTACATTGGCACGGTATATTGAAGCAGTACATAAATTGGCATAGTATATTGGCACATTATATTGACGCGGTACATTGGCGTGATATATTGTCACGGTATATTGAAGCAGTACATTGGCGCGGTATATTGACGCAGTATATTGACGCAGTACATTGTCACGGTATATTGGCACAGTATATTGACGCGGTACATTGGCGCAGTATATTGTCACGGTATATTGAAGCAGTACATTGGCGCGGTATATTGGCACAGTATATTGACGTGGTACATTGGTGTGGTACATTGTCACGGTATATTGGCACAGTATATTGACGCCCTACATTGGTGCGGTATATTGGCGCAGTACATTGTCACGGTATATTGGCACAGTATATTGACACCGTACATTGGTGTGGTACATTGTCACGGTATATTGGCACAGTATATTGACGCCCTACATTGGTGCGGTATATTGGCGCAGTACATTGTCACGGTATATTGGCACAGTATATTGACGCCGTACATTGGTGTGGTATATTGGCGCAGTATATTGACGTGGTACATTGGTGCTGTATATTGTCACGGTATATTTAAGCATGACATTGGCACGGTATATTGACGCCGTACATTGGTGTGGTATATTGGCGCGGTATATTGGCACGGTATATTGGCGCAGTTAATTGGCACGGTAAATGTTTGCTGCAGGATTTCTTTTAATTGAATGCTTTTAGTTTTAATGAGAAAAAAACATTTGCTTCCAATTTAGTATGTTCACCCCGCTGCTCCAGGTTCCTGCAGAATAGGTACGCATGTACTGTCTATAAACTGTTTCTATAGTATGACAGTCTCTCATATTGAAAACTGTCTCAACATGCAGCGTCTCTCTCAGACAATCCACCTATAGACACTAGCTCGAATTCACTGCCATCTAGTGGCAAAACTCCGCAAGGCATCAAACCTTGACATATGTACTTAATGGTACATGGTAATAGCTTTTAATTAACCTGTTATTACATCTCCCACCAGCTTGTACCTATAGGCCCATGCAGCCGTGTATATCTCCGTCCGATGTGGCCCTGTCTATAGCAGAGATTTCTGAATAGATTATTGCAATGTCTGCTGAGTGTTACAGTAACTGCTGACTCCCATCTATATCTCAGGGGGATCCTTTAACTGGCGATAATTACTAGTTATTATTCACATATGTAAATGAGATTGCCAGCTGGACTCACCCCTGTACTAAGTTCAGACTCTGTGAAATGCCACTGCTTCATTAATTCAGAGCACCCCTCCCGTACCCAGTGCGCGCAGTCTATTGTACGAGCTTTAATGAAAGTGATATTTTCACAGGTTAGAAATCTGCACTTTTGGTAAATCCAAGAATTTTTATATATGCGTGTATTTTCCTAAAACTCATGTGTAAAAAGTAGCTAATTTGCATATCTTCATAACGCATCCTTCTTTATCAGATGTGCTGGATGAAGATCCCTTTGGGTGTTTTATATATTTAAATGTCTGCTGATATCCCCCACCATCACACCACATCTCGTCTTGGATTGAACGGCAGTATAAACATTAACTTTTATACAATGGCAATGTACATCATATCATATCATACCAATGAATCTGATGTGACTATTACCCCTCCCTACCGCTTCATTCTGTATTCCGCAATAAGACTGAAAAATAAAAAATTTACAAAATTTTTAAAAAAATTTACGTTTTTATTCTTTGCACTATATTCAGTGTATGTAGGGTTTTATTTTGTCCCGCTGGGACCTGGCTTGGAAAGTTTAAAAAAAATAATTATTTTCTCTATATAGTTCTTACATGGCCGATACAGGTGTAATTTTCTCTATATGTTAGTTTACGTTGTGGTTTTCTGTGCTGCATCCTCTGTGCTGGTACAGCCTCATTGCCAGACATTCAATTAGCAAAAATTTGTATCTTATTTCCCACAATGACCATTTTCACCCATTGATTTAAAGAGCCACGGCAATAGGAGCAGTCTCTGCAGAGTTCTGTCCGTCTGTCTTTGTGATCACCGCTGTCGTTCCTTGTCATCTTGCGTTATCTGTCCATTATCAAACAGCATGATATATCACTCTGCACTGTCTGTCTTCCTGCATTATGTACCTGTCAGTCTCCGCAGCTCAGTATTATAGACAGCTGTGCCCTTTAACAGTGAGTCATTGTCCCCCTGTCCCCCCACCACATCACCTATTCTCAAGAATTAAGTTGGAAGAGAAGTAGTTAACATTGCCTGCCAGTCCATATTGAAAATATTGTCCTTGACGGCCTCTGAAAGTCATTCGCAGTCAATTAGCTCTGCAACACACATGGATTTTTCCCCGGAAGATGGAAGGCTGATGGGGTGGGGGGGAGTGTAAAGGAAAAAAAAACTAAAATCACCTTTGAAAACGAGGAGCGATGCAAATCTTCAATTTTGTTTGAGTAAAGCTTTAATCTGATTTAGAGTGAGCTGATCTGGGGAAGGATACAGAGAACTGGAGGGGAGGGGGAGACAGCCAGAGGACAAACGGATTTTTAAGGAGTACAAAATCTCAGACCTGAAATGGCTTTTTATTGTAATATTAATGAACAAAAGTAACTCAGGGATCCTAAGTTGGCATCGGTTACAACAGATACAGGGATGTCTGTACATAGCAGTCTTTTGTTTGGTTTGCTTTTTGTTATAAATGTGAAAGCATTTAGTATATATTATAATAATAAATGGCATTTACTCGGCTGCTGATGCCTGTGTGTGATGGGAAATCCAAGGAATAATGTTGATTTGAGTGAGTGTTCACATTGCTGGAGACAGACGGTGACCACAAATGGGTCGGGAGATGCACAGTTTGTGTACTGATCAGTCACAAATCAATGGGTTAGTTTCAGAGATTTTCTTTCGATTATTTATGTGTAAATCTTGGAACTAAATGGTCAGTCTACAAACATGTACGCATGTGGGTTTTCCTGAGCTCAGTCAGCATGTTCCTGGCTCGGGGGATCTCTTTTCGGCTGGTTTTGTTGAAGTAACTGCAGAGTTTTTCCAAGTTTAGTAACTCTTGCATGCCGATACTGCGGAACCACTGCAACCCAAGATAGACTGAATTGGTCTTTTAATCTTGTAATTTAGTATCCTATGGTTGTGAAGTTTCTGTTCAGATATTTAGTTACCAAGTAATGTAGTTAAAGGTCATGGCAGCTACAATAAAAGTACTTGTGTTGTATGTGAATATTACAGCTACACTAATTCACCAATCACCTAATTAATAAATGGCTTCAAGTCCCATCTACCTTTAGTCATATTTTGTATAGGAAGGTAAGCTTATCACAAATTATGCAGGAAACTGGTCACAGACAGTCATAGTCATACACAGTGCCGGTAGTCGGCCATAGTCATACACAGTGCCGGTAGTCTGCCATAGTCATACACAGTGCAGGTAGTCGGCCATAGTCATACACAGTGCCGTTAGTCGGCCATAGTCATACACAGTGCAGGCAGTCGGCCATAGTCATACACAGTGCCGGTAGTCGGCCATAGTCATACACAGTGCCGGTAGTCGGCCATAGTCATACACAGTGCAGGCAGTCAGCCATAGTCATACACAGTACAGGCAGTTGGCCATAGTCGTACACAGTGCAGGCAGTCGACCATAGTCGTACACAGTGCCGGTAGTCGGCCATAGTCGTACACAGTGCAGGCAGTCGGCCATAGTCGTACACAGTGCAGGCAGTCGGCCATAGTCGTACACAGTGCCGGTAGTCGGCCATAGTCGTACACAGTGCCGGTAGTCGGCCATAGTCATACACAGTGCCGGCAGTCGCCCATAGTCATACACAGTGCCGGCAGTCGGCCATAGTCATACACAGTGCAGGCAGTCGGCCATAGTCATACACAGTGCCGGCAGTCGGCCATAGTCATACACAGTGCAGGCAGTCGGCCATAGTCATACACAGTGCCGGTAGTCAGCCATAGTCATACACGGTTAGTTTGACCTGTTCTCTGGAATATGGATCTTGGTTGTTCTTTCACGCAAAGCCCCACCACTCTAATGGTAACGCTTTCTTTTTCTTGCCTGTTAGAGCTCTTGTCAAATCCTGTTTGGTGCCGACACTCTTATCATGTTTTTAACAAACTCTAATTACAGTATAAAATGTGGACACAAGCAGGTTGGCATAATTGCTTGCTCTTTAAAGGGTCGATTCTGAGAAGTGATGTTAATTTTAAATGGAAATTATTACTCGCTATGAAAATTCGTACTGAAATCACATTTTGTTTTGTTCTATCTAAAGACGTTTGACCCAGAGAGGATCCTGAATTAATTGGCAGGTGATGGGTTAAAGAGGTGGATAGGCTGGTGTCTTGCATGTGTTTTTGACATGGTTTATGACAGAAATGATTGACGGCTTGTCAGGTAAAGAGTAAAACGGTCCGGGGTATGATTGATGGGGAGACTGCATCACTGGCCATTTAAATCCCACGTTCCTGGTGAGGAAGAATCATTTATTTCCGAAGCTTTGGCTCTCATGCCCAGAGACACCTCTTTATTTTTATCTTCCTCCTTCTCTTGCTCGTCCTCCCTTCATCAAAAACAACACCCGTCAAGAAGATGCTCGTCTGAAAGTCATTTCAAAAGCACAAGGAGTTGGGAGAAAGGGGGGAGGAAGGGGCGAGATGAAGGAATTGGTTTTCTGATCTGCTGTCGGGGGTCTCGTCAAAACTCCGCCATCTCCTTAGGTTTGATATTGTCGTCCTCTGGTTTTAACTCTTTCACAAGGGAAGAGTTTGTGTCTCAGGTACAATAATGCTCCTGTCTAGTAAAACAGATTGCATGCTCATCAGTGGCACTCGAGTCAGAGAAGTGAGTAACAGCATTCTAGAACCAATGAGGGTGGATGGTTTTCAGTTAGTGCCACTGATGTCGCATGAGGGAATTGGCCCCAAAACTGAGATTTAACATTGAAACAGGCTGATTCTAATGAGTGAGACTGTCTGTCACTGGATTCTTGTGGTTTTAGCTGAATTTGGTGGTTTTGCGAGAGGCCCTCAAAGAGTGAGACTGCCTTTTGCTAAATGAGGCTGTCGCTTAGTCAGTGACTCTCCAAGGACTGCGTCTGGATTCATGTGAGAAAAGGTCAAGGCCAGTGACTTGATTTATATGTGGCTGTCTTGTCCAGTGAGTGTGAGTGGATTCTTCTGAGTGAAGTTCTGTTTCAGCAATTCAGGTTGCCTTCCAGTGAGAGAGACGTATTTTTAATGAGTCAGGTGGATTTCACTAACCAAGTCTTCCTTATTGGATTTCTATGAGTGATTTTCTGTGATCTGTTATTTTAATGAGTGAGACTGTATTCTGCCATCTGTTATTTTAATGAGTGAGACTGTTTTCTATTGAATGATCCCTTATCGCTCCAATAGCAGAGATTTATTGTAACAGTTACTTTATGTACAGTTTCACAAATTACACCAAAAGATGGCCAGCCAGCCTAGAGCTAAATTCTATAACTCCAGTTATCTTTACATTGACAATAGGTATCTGAAGGTGATCCGAATTCCATCCATGCATTCTGCATATAGACCTCTGTAAATTTATTTGAGATAACAGCCCTGTACCCACAGATTGGCAGCACTACACCACGCCAGCTTGATAGTTTTCCGAGAGCTTCTTTCGTAGAGAAGCCGATGGCAAATTTGTATGCGGATCCTCACACAAACACCATCCCATCCCTCCCTCCGGTCCGGATCAGCCTCAGTCTTCCAGCACGTTACCGCTTTTGTGCAAGCATTGGTGAGCTATGACTGTGCTGTCTCACTGCTAACCTCTGTGACCCCAAAAAGATTATCAGGGACCCATGAGAGCGGCCAAGTGGCCTTGAATTAAAGTAGAGAAAAGGGGTCAGAGCTAGGAAATATTTCTCCTGTCAAAACAATATAAGTAGACTTTCAATTGATGCCGAAACATACACACGCTGCGTCAATACAATATATACACGTGTCACATACATCCCTTTCTCTCGCTTTATGCATTGACTGTTCATCATAGCCTCTCAGAAAAATACAATGATGCTCTTGGGTTCTGGAGTGTTTTGCTGTCACTACAATGTGCACGGATGCAAGTTTGTTAGGGCTGCTGTACTTCTGATATCCTTTGATTTTTCACATATTGCTGTACAGGAAAATGCAGATAATTATTTCTGATAAAGTGATAAATGTATTTTTCTCGTTGTCGCTCTGTATAATGATGTATTTGTGTATTCATGCTTGTTTATATTCATAATATTTCTTTAGTCATTTTCTAGGGGCGGACAGACGTATCTTCTATTAAAGCCATGTTTTCGTTTTGCATAATCAGATTATTCATTAGTATCTGGCTCTATGTCGTTTTTTTTTACAATGTGAGTATTTTTAAAGGCATTTACTTTATCTTAGGGCCCTTCTTTCTGACTTTTCATTTATTTCCCTCCTCTCCTAGTGTGTTGGCACAGCAGGGGAAGTTGGTTTGTATTTCGACACATGGTATAGGTTCCCACTATCTGTAGAATGCTCTGAAATGGTTAGAACTGCTTGGATACAGTGTCCCTTTAAGCTTTATCCCTGCTCACAGTGCTTGTAAAAATTGATGTTTTATTTTTTTGTTGTTTTTTTGCTTCTGGCAATACAGTTTACCCCTCGTTTTAAGTTGTCTGTGTGTGTGTTTTTTTTTTTGTGTGCTCTTTGCGGTGAGTCCTGTGGGAGATGGAAGGGAGGGTGTCTGGAAGCCTGTGGTTGGTTTACCCTTTTCAGTGCTGATTGAGTGCATGATACTGGATGCGAACCAAAAGACTCCGCACTCTGTGCAATGTTAAGAGTAGCTGCAACGTGAACTGCATCCTGGAACTAGCCAATCACAGGGCTCCGATTTACTGCTGGCTGCATGCGACAGGTGCTTGTGAGAACTTTAAACGAAGAGGAGAGGTGATTGGCTCTGAGCCGATGTTGTGAAATTGTAACAAAATGCGGCTTAAAAACATGGGTGGATAAATAGCATATTTTGTTATCAAAGAAAAAAACAAAGCATTAATCTAATGGGCCGTAAATGAAATATTAATTTCTGGAATCAGGGATGTAAATCATGATTTGCGTTATTGAATGGGTTTTATGAGATCTGAGTGCACATCAGCATACGCGTCACGAGAGCAGGCGATATACATCCTAATGCATTCCTTGTGGATGCTGGGTTTGACACCGGACCCAGCGCAGACAGCGTGGGGGCCCTTTACACAGGTACGGGTGCAGAGTCATTTAAAGGGACAGAGCTAGGCGCTGTGTCATGTCTGTCTCCGTTCCATAGTAACCAGGAATTAGTGGACATGAATCACAATGGCCACATGACAGTGGAAGAAAATGACCTTCTTTAACGTTATTAAAAATAGCATCATAGAAAACTAAAAAGACCCTTATTTACTAAACAGGGGTTTCCGTTCGGTGAGAAACCGCTTCGTAACATTTCGGTCAAAAATAGCAATTCCAATAAATTCATTTCCAACTCGCCAAAAGGTAGATTTTCTTTCCAACTTGGCTAATTTGGGATAATGTTAATCACTGGTTAGTGAATAGGCCCCATACTTTATATTTTTGGGGTGATTCTTTGACGGGTTGATAGTTTGACTAGGCAGCCTTTCAGTAGTGGGAGGGGGGCGGAGTGTCCTCACGTTTATTGCTGTTTCCAAAGACTGAATTTACCAATCTATTATTCACTAAGTGAGAGGTCAGAGTGAATTTCACATTTAAGGTTAAAAAAAAACAACGCATAATCTGAAAAATTCTCTAAATCAGCTAAACTCTTAATTGGTCTAGTCTGACCTTAAATTTGAAATAACCCTGTTAGTGTTTTAGCGCAGATGTGGAGTGTTCGGATAACGGATCACATGGCAGAGGGAAGTTTGAGGCATTCCCTGTTAGAGTAAAAACGTCCGCAGGGTCCCCCAGCGGGAATAAATAGGAGGTGTCAGGAATCTATTTGAGTGAGTGTTAGAGTAAAATGGATGTCTCAGAACAGAGGAAAGCCATCTCCGCCAAGTGCACAGCAATGCCACCATTAAATATTAAATATCTTTTATCCATTAACCTCTTGTTGGCCAGCAGTGTTGTGGCGTGTAAAGAAATGCAGCTAAAATCTGTTTTAACTGCTTTAGGCTGCCAAAGTTTGATAGTAGTTTTAGTTCTGCAGTGATCTGGTGGGACCATCAATCATGGATCTGGTGGGACCATCAATCATGGATCTGGTGGGACCATAAATCATGGATCTGGTAGGATAATCTGTTAGGAATCAGGTGGGACCATTAGTCATGGATCTTGTGGGATAATCTGTTAGGAATATGGTGTGGTGGGACCATCAATCATGGATATGTTGGGACGATTTCTCATGGATATGGTGGGACGATTTCTCATGGATCGGGTGGGATGGTCGGCCAGAGATCTGATGGGATGATTTCTCATAGATCTGGTGGGATGGTCGGCCAGGGATCTAATGGGATGATTTCTCATGGATATGGTGGGACGATTTCTCATGGATATGGTGGGATGGTTGTCCATTGATCTGATGGAATGATTTTTCATAGATCTGATGGGATGGTTGGCCAGGGATCTGATGGGATGATTTCTCATAGATCTGGTAGGATTATTTATCACAGATCTGGTAGTCCAAGTTGTACGATATTTCTGCATTTTCCTACAGGAAAGCACTTGAAAGAGTGTATTTTTAACGGTGTTTGCATACCCACAAGGATTTAACTATAGGGTTTGCAGACCTGCATCTTCTCCATTCAA